ACAGTTGGATTGATTACATTGAATCGGCCAAGGCAATTGAATGCTTTATCAAGTGATTTATTTAATGATGTTAATGACGCATTGGAAAAGTATGATAGTGACCCGGAAATTAGAGCAATTGTAATTACTGGAAGTGAAAAGGCTTTTGCTGGTAAATCACTCGTTATTCATTATTATGAAGAAGACTATGATACCAACAAAAATAATATATGTATATATTTTAACCATCGTTATATATAGCTGGAGCAGACATTCAAGAAATGGCAGATAAAACTTTTGCAGAAGTTTATAAGACAAATTTTCTTTGGCATTGGGGGAAAATTAATGAAATAAAAAAGCCAATTATTGCTGCTGTTAATGGTTATGCTGTAAATATATATCTGTTGAAGGAGAAGGAGAGGATAAAATATTTTATTTACTAAATTAATTTTATTTTTTATTGAATTTATATATGTAGTTGGGCGGTGGATGTGAATTAGCAATGAGTTGTGATATAATTTATGCAGGTGAAAAGGCTATATTTGGTCAACCTGAAATTAAATTAGGTGTAATACCAGGTAATTATCATTTTATTGTATTTATTTACATATACGCACAGCTTTTATACATTCACTTGATAAAAAAATAATTTTTTTTGTTTAGGTGCTGGTGGAACTCAAAGACTTACAAGAGCGATTGGTAAATCAAAAGCAATGGAAATAATTCTTACGGGTAAAAATTTTACAGCTCAAGAAGCAGAACAATGGGGACTTGTAAGTAAGATATTCCCGGTGGATAAATTACTTGATGAATCAATTAAACTTGGTCAAGAAATTGCTGGATTTTCACAGCCAGTCACCCAAGCTGCTAAAGAGTCCATTAATAAATGTTAGTGCTTATTTATTATATATGCTAATGTGTAAACTTCTAATAATATGTTTAAATATATATTAATATTGAAATTTATGGGGGGCTTTTTTCTTTAAAGCATTTGAATTATCGTTAAAAGAAGGAAATCATTTTGAAAGAAGATTGTTCCAAACTCTTTTTGCATTGGTATGAATGATTTTAATTTTTTATTTTCCTCGCGTGACTTTTAACGATGAGATTTTTAATAATTTATGATTTTAAATTTAATAGAAAGATAAGTTTGAAGGTATGGAGGCATTCCTCAAGAAACGTCTACCACAATGGAAACACGAATAATAGCAATAACAATAAACATTATTAGTATCATTATTATTGTTTAGTTTTAATAAGTTTGATAAATAAAGTTATTTTTTTTTTGTAAATCTGGGAGCAATACTAGACAAAAAATGTCTTCAATCTTTTTTGTTGATAAATACAACGATAAAGAAATTAGGTTATTTTCTCAAAAATCTTTTTCTTTTGCTATTTTTTCGTTTAGAGTAGCAATGATATCGGAAAATTTATCTGGAATTAATCAACAAGATAAGAACTGTTTCCCGAAGTAGTCTTTTGAATGTTGGCATTTTCTTCCTCTCAGATTTACACAATCAGCCACACAAAATATTCGTTAATACAGTAGAAGGATGATAACAAATTTTGAGAATCTAAAGCTCTATTGATATTGTGAGTCATATATGTATATGTGTGCGTGTGTGGATGGGTAAAAAAAATGAAATTTGTACAAATAGTGAATGAGTAATATGTTCTCATTTCAATAAATGAGGTATATATACCAAAAAATTCACTCCTTGTGATGATTGTTTGGAGCATAAACATTAAGTGTAGTTGTGAAGGTCAGACATTATGAGAAAGTTAGCAAAGCTTCCATTTTTTCTTTTTTGAAGAATGTTAAGGGGTTCGTTGTCACAAAAAAGATAATTGCATGCCTTTAAGCTTGTAAATTTTAATAATAAATTATTTTGATATCAGGAGGTATATGTTTTGCTATCAAATGGATCAGTTTGGTAAATTTAAATAAAATAATGTGTTTTCTTCAAAATTCTTTTTTGTATTTCTATTTGGTGATGATGTATTCTTTTCAGGTACTTGTTTAGGGGAGTGCTTACAATTAATAATGATATTAATTACGAATATTCTGGTCCATATGAAGCTTGTAGTAAAGATTCAATTAAAGGATTGGTATGCATTTTTGAAAAAATTAATAATAGCATCACTGAGACAATTTTATCAACAAAATTAGGATTAGAACAAAGTGATAACAATAATGATGATGATACATTTAATGATAGTGAAGATTTAGATGAGTTTCAAAAAATTAGTGACAATAATAACAATAATAATCAAGGTGTAAACTTAGACATTGGTTCTGGGCAAATTAATAATGATGACAATGGGAAAAAATATCAATTTAATAATGTTTTAAATCAACAGCCAGATTATTCATCATGGATTGACCGTATCTTATACCTTTGTGACATTAATTGAGAATGATTATTATATATATATGACATCAATAAAGATGGCGAGCACTATATTGATGAGAGAATGACAATAATAATTTGACAATAAACAGGATGATAGTCAATTATTGTATTTGATTAGTTTCAAACTTATATTGATATGTGACAAACCTTTAAAATAGTAAAGCTCCTAATGAGCTGGCTTGCGAGCTGGCTTATGCGGAAATAGTCTAATAAATTAAATCGTACTACTCGAAAATGTATTTAAAGGGTTGGTTTTCGACTTGGTTGAAGGATAACTCTCTTCCTAACTCTTCTCTTGACCATATTTCTTGATATAATCAATATAATGAATGTCGACGAAATGATTGTAAACACAACCAATATTTAAGATATACGATTAAGACAAAACATGAATGATGTATACGAATTTGTTTTAATAAAAACAAAATCTACAACCCAAAAAATGTATTTTTTGCATGTTCCATTGTTGCATCATCTATTGCTGATTTAACGTTACCCGGATCATCATCAACTGTATTTTCGTTATTTTCGATATTTTCATTTTCGTTTAATCTTTTCATCATACTTTTCTTTTAGTGCGTTGACATTTTTTTTGATTTCGACTTGAAGATATCAAACATTTAGATTGGCACCTTTGTAGACAATGATTGTGATAACATGAGTACACTACAATTATTCAAATTAGTATATATAGTTAGTGTAATCACAATATATTACCACTATCACTGTCATCTTATTCTTGTTCTACTGCTAATGCTACTGCTAATGATAATACTGCTTTCAATTTGCCATTATTATATTTGATGACATTACGTTAGAGAAAGTTAAATCAAAGAAATTTGCATAAATGTTCCATTTATGAATTGGTTATAAAGTAATAATATTTAATAATAGTATGACTGTGTTCATTCATCATATTATATTGTACTCAAATAATTAATTGCATATATAACTATTAATAAAAACAAGTATTAATAGATAGATAAATAAGGCGTCAATATTCCATTCAATAAAAATTACATCTATCTGCAGTTTTTCTTGAATTTGTAATATAAAAGATAGCCTTTATTCATAAGAGAGTAAGAAATTACTTACCTGTAATTAAATTATATATAAAAAATAGTTTAATAATTCCATGAAGAATACCTCTTTAGATATTGACATATTAGAGATGCCACATGTTTAAATAACAATCTATGTTTGATTTTACATCTAATGGTAGAGTCTCATCTGTGATTATATGGGAAAAAGGTTTTTTTTCTAATAAAGCGAAGTCGCTATTTAAATTCCTTTGCTTCTAATAGAAAAATTATTTCATTAGAGAAGAAACTATATTATTTTTTTTCATCTTACATATAATTACAAAGTTTATTTGAATATATTAATACCGACGTACGTTAAAACAATACAGTC